CCAGGGATGTGCAGGTTAGGGTGGGATTGGCCGTGGGAAATTGTCCCTTAGTGCCCAGGGATGTGCGGGTTAGGGTGGGATTGGCCGTGGGAAATTGCCCCGTAGTGTCCAGGGATGCGGAGATTGGGTTGGTCATAGGGGGATGGGTCGGTGTGGACTTGTTGGGCCGAAGGGCTTGTTTCCACACTGTAGGTATCCTATTAAAAGAGTCCAACGATGAACTGTGAATCTGTTGCCGATTTTCAGGGGAAAACAAACCCCATCTGGTCCTTCAGGGAAGGAAGCTGCCATCCCTTACCTGGGTCTGGGCCTACACGTGACCCCAGGCGCACACAACAATGTGGTTGACACTTACCTGTCCCCCACCGCCCCCCGGGTGATCAGGGAGCGGCAATAAAATGCTGGGTCCATGACCAGCGACCCCCTCGATCCCGTGAATGAATAAAACAAAATAAAACAAAACACGGGAGAGGGGCGAGTCTCCAGGATGCGGCCCCGTTTCAGAGAGACTGGGACTGTTTTGCTTGGAGCGGAGAAGGCTGAAGGGTGGTGGGGGTTTGGGGGGGTGTGTGGTAGTGGTAGGTAGAGACCTGAATGAGTCCATTCCGAGGGGAGCAGACAGGGAGAAGCAAATTTAGAGTCATAGAGGTGTACAGCACAGAATAGCCCTTAGTAGAAGAGTGGGTGAGCAGGGTCACGGTTTTAAGGTGAGGAGCGGGAGATTTTGGGGGGGGGGGGGGGGGGGGGGGCTCGGGGGGGGGGGGGGGGTGCGGTGTGCGGCTTGAGGGTTTGTTCCTACACCCAACTTCTGACCCGCAAGGCCCAGAGGGGGCAGAAACCCTGGAGACATGGAAGAAGCGTTAGGGATGTGGACGCGCGCGGCGACTAGCCGAGAGCTGGGGTCGGGGGTGGGGGGTTAAGCGAGTTCAGTGCTGATGGATGTCGGGTGACCAGCGCAGAAATGATGGGCCGAAGGGCCTCCCCCCCTGCCCCACACCACCGCGTTTAAAAGCCTCTAACGCGTAGTTCAGTGTTTCGAGAATGTGATTAAACCGGAGAGGGGCTCGGGGAGAGATTTACCGGGATGTTGCCGTGTGCGGAGGGTTTGGGGAGAGGCCGGGGCTTTATTCACTGGAGCATAGAGGAGGGGGTGACCTTATTGAGGTTTATAAAACCATGAGGGGCATGGATAGGGTTAATGGTGGGTGTCTTTTCCCCCCAGGGGGTGGGGGGATTTAAAGATGAGGTGGTGGGGGGAGCCCACATTATGAAGGTGAGAGGAGAGAGATTTAAAAAAGGACACGAGGGGTAAATATTTTCACACAGAGGGTGGTGCGTGTGTGGAATGAGCTTCCTGAGGAAGCGGTGGGTGTGGGTACAGTTACAGCGTTTAAGAGGACATTTGGATAAGGACACGGACAGGGGAAAGGTTTGGAGGGATAATGGGCCGGGAGCAGGCGGGTGTGGGGCTGGTTTTAGTTTGGAATTACGGCCGGCACAGACTGGATGGGCCGAAGGGTCTCCCGTATCTGGGAAGGATGTACAGAAGCTCAGAAGGGGGAAAAAGAGAGAGACAGCAGTAAGGTGTTCAGAAGGATTTATAAGAATTTGACAACGAGGATAGACTGGAAAAGGCTAGGCCTGTCATGGGGGGTGGGGGTGAAGTGGGGGTGAAGTGGGGGTTGGGGGAGCGGGTGGTGTTGGGGAGAGGGTGTTGGACGTGTATTAAAGAGAAGGCTGAGAGGCGAGGTGCGTAAAATGACGAGGGGGAAATCGGACTGAGTAGAGAGAGCGAGAGAGAGAGAGAGAGGGGAACTGCGTTCTGGAGGAGGGTCATTCCAGACCCGAAACATTGACCACGTACCTCTTCCTGTCCCTTCCCACCACCACATGGAGTTTCTCCAGCATGTTCTGTTAAGGGACGGGGCGGGGATCGGGTTTGAGCGAATTTCAGTAAAGTGTTGGTAAGGTTCCCCATGGTAGGCTATTGCAGAAAATACGGAGGCATGGGATTGAGGGTGATTTAGCGATTTGGATCAGAAATTGGCTGGCTGTAAGAAGACAGAGGGTGGTGGTTGATGGGAAATGTTCATCCTGGAGTTCAGTTACTAGTGGTGTACCTCAAGGATCTGTTTTGGGGCCACTGCTGTTTGTCATTTTTATAAATGACCTGGATGAGGGTGTAGAAGGATGGGTTA